AGCTTTCGAGAGCAAGCCAGGCGCCCCGCAGAAGCGGATTGCGTGCTGGCCCCGTCACTCGGAACACCGGCTACACGGGTGCGTGAGTGCCGCCTCTGTGCGCCCACGTGGTACTTCCGCAGCCTTGCCAGGTGAGAGGCAAGGGGGTACAAGAAGTGGGCGGGGGGCGGGGGGGTCGAAGGCGATCTACGAGGCGATGGGAGGGAGGAGGAGCAGGGCGAGAAGAGAGGAGGAGGGAGGAGGGAGGAGGGAGGAGGGAGGAGGGAGGAGGGAGGAGGGAGGAGGGAGGAGGGAGGAGGGAGGAGGGAGGAGGGAGGAGGGAGGAGGGAGGAGGGAGGAGGGAGGAGTTCGGCTGGTGCGCGGTGTCAGAGCCGCCGGCCGCAGTGCGCAGCGCACCGCGTCCGCGAAGTGTCTCGAAAGTGTCTAGGAAGTGTCCAGGAAGTGGCGCACCGCATCAGCGAAGTCGGCGTTCTCAGAGAGGAAGCCATACCCGGGGTGGATCGCCTGGGCGGGGCGGCGGGGCGGCGGGGGGCGGCAGTGGTGACAGCGTGGCGGCGGCGGCGGTGACGGCGGCGGCGGTGGAGTGTGTGGCGGTGGCGGAAGGGCTGCTTGTTCGAGGCCTCGGGAGGCGACGGGGGCGGGGCAGGGCAGTACGCGGGCGGGGAAAGGGCGGTGCGGCGGGGCAGGGTTGGCAGGCAGTCGAGAGGGGAATGGTGGCCGCTGCGGTGTCGGGAGGCAAGGGCAAGGGCAGGGCGCTGCGACAGCCTCGAGAAATGGATGGCGCCTTGTTTGTCGGCAGATGTGGCGCGGGCGACGACCGGCCACGCCCGTGGGCGAGCCGGCCGCCGCGCCGCGTCGCTCATCGTGCTACGCGGTTCTAGGTCGTGGCATCATCGGCTGCGCGGCGGATCTGCTCTGGGCGGAGCAAGGGCGGCGGCGCGCGGGCCGGCGGGACGCGGCGGCACCTCGGCGCCCGAGTCGGCGGCGACCTGAAGCACGCGCTCGCCGCGCAGGTACGAGTCGGACGACGCCGCACTGCCGATGCAGTACGCCGCGTCCGCCATCCGCACGTGCATGGCTCGCGCATCCGCCTCTGAGTAGACGGCCACAGTCTCGACGCCGAGCCGCCTGGCGGTCTGGATGACGCGGCAGGCGATCTCACCGCGGTTGGCCACGAGAATGCGGCGAAACATGGACTAGCAAATAAGGCAGCGGGCGCGGTTCTCGGAGAGCGGCGGAGCGGAACGTGACTGCGCGGCAAGGCCGGCGCAAGATTTCTTTTGAGAGAGAGTTCTTTTTTGTTGAATTCTTTTGAGAGCGCCTTCGTTGTTAATAGTAAAAACCCGAGGGTTTGCGAGCGAGCGGTCCTTCGTTCCAGTCGCACACACGCACACGCCACGCCGCACCGCGCGCCCGCCCACTGCCCCGCCCAGGCGGGAAAGAGATGAGGAGATGGGACAGCGAAGGAGGAGCCACGAACACGATACACGAACACGTATGAAGAGATGGGTGGGACAGCAAAGGAGGAGCACAAACACGTATGGGAGGGTTCAGTTGTGCGCCACGCTGCCCGGCGTCTCTCACTTTCCTAGGGGGTAGACAGCGCCGCAAAATCCACCACTGTGGGATTCGAGAGTTTGTTTTGGGATTTCGCGCAATCGCTTGACTCTGAAAAGCTCGCCTATCCCTGCGGTGAGCGCTGTGGTCGCCGCAGACTGGCTCCGACTTGATGGGCGCATGGAGACGTGATGCCTCCATGCGCCCGTCGAGTCAAAATCGACATGCGAGGCGATCTTTGGCCCGCCAGAGGGATAGGCGGCGTTTTGGGCGACAACAGCGCTGCGACCGCGAAGTGGCGGTGGACATGCTCCCATGTTGCCGACGCGGCGCCGGAGTGGCCGGCGCTGCTCGCCGCGACCACGACGGCTACTCCGATGCTCCGGGCCGACCCGTCCCACCCGACGGTGGCACTCTTCCACGTCTCGCTCACGCTGGGAAAAATTCTGAAACGGCGTGCAGCAGAGTCACCGACGAGTCGGTCCGCGTGCCTCCTCGTGTCCCGTACCGTTCTCGCACATCCATAAACTCACTTTGGCCCCACTGAAGCAAGCCCTCAATCCTGAATCCTCAGATTTTAGATTAGGACGCTGTCCACCCCCTAACTTTCCGGGACAGCCCCGCCCTTTCGAGGCAGGAAAGTGACGGCTACCCCGTACGCCCTGTTTGCTTCTACCCCGACGCCGACCGCCCATCCCCCCCTCTTCGTTCCCCCCTCGAATTCTCCGGACCCCGACAGGCCGCCCGACGTTGGGCCTCTGCCCCGCACGCCCCCGCCCCTTCTGCCCCTCGCTCACACCCCGGCCCGACACGCACATACAAGACAAACCCGGCGTGCGAGGCTGTGGCCGCTTCCAGCCGACACTGCGACGACACGCTGGCCAGCGAAGGCCTCGATCTTCTTTGGCAGCAGCTGGTTGAAATTGTGGCCGTGGCCCAACCGGCCACCGGCTCCATCGCCCCAGCTCCAGACGGCTCCGTCGGCGGTGATTGCCATGCTGTGCGCATCTCCAGCCGCCGCGGTGATAACGCGCTGGCCAGCAAAGGCCTCGATCTTCTTCGGTAGCACCTGGTGTTGCTGGTCGCCGTGGCCCAAGCCTCGACTACCCCAGTTCCAGACAGCTCCGTCAGCGGTGAGGGCGAGGGTCTGGCAGTCTCCCACCGTCACGCTCACAGCGCGCTCGCCGCCCAGCGTCGACGCAAGGCGCGTCGGCGTGTTGAGCCGCGTCACGCCCTCGCCGTGGCCAAGGAGGCCTGGGATGTGCTCCGCACAGCCGCACGACGAGAGCCGCCCCTCGACGTCGATGAAAACGCTGTGTAATGTGCCTGCCGCAGCCCTCGCCGGCGGGTTGGACTCGCACAGCAGCGCAGCGAGACACAGCCAACGCACGGCACAGCTCTCCCACTCTGGCAGCGCCGGCAGCTCGAAGCCGCGCTCTTGCGCCCACAAGCGAATGGCCTCCACCGCAAGCGAGCCGTGAAAGAGCAGCGAGACGGCCGCGACGCGAGCGATGTCGGCGGGGCTCTCGCAGCGAGAGAAGGCGCGCACGAGGAGCTCCGTGGGGAGGTCGAGGAGGCGGGCGGGCGGCGGCGTGTCTGGCGAGGGAGCGGCGGTGGAGACGGGTGCGAGGCGGCGCGGGCAGACATGGAGAAGAATTCTTAAGATACAAGCCTCTCTCACAGCACACTGGCACGACAAGGGCGCAGACTGGCGCGGACTGGCACACACACAGGCTCACCACCGGAGCCGCCTAAGCGACTCCGTTAAGAACGGCAATGCACTCCGCACCATGCACAATGCCGCTCTCCCCGCACGCTAGCTCGTTCACCGTCTGCCACGCCACGGCGGTGTGGAGGACGACAGACAAGCGCTGCATCTGCAGCCCGTGCCAGTTCTTGGTGGTCCATGTGACCTCGTCCAGGTGCTGAGCGTGCGAAAGTTTATTGCTCAGCTGGTTCGCCGCCTCCCTCAGGGTGCTGCGAACCTCCTTTCCAAAGCCTCCGAAAGCCTCAAAATCAAACAAACGTAGATCGCAATCCTGCTGCCGCGCAAAGGGGTAATCGCCAGGCTGCTCCGTGAGCTTTCTCTTGGGGGCATCCTCCTCCTCCCCCTCCTCCCCCTCCTCCTCGGCCTCCTCCTCCTCCCCCGCCACCGCCGCTGCCGTCGCTTCCGACGGAGACCACTTGCCGCGCCCTTTGACCAACTTGAGCAGCCCGGTCTCCGTGTTGCCAAAGCGCACGTAGGCCCCCTTCCAGCCGAGCTCTCCGTCGCCGGCCGTGTCCTTGCCCGTGCTCGCAAGCGAGCTCGTGAGCTTAGCGACGTAGAAGAGGACGTGCCCGTGGCAAAGTCGGCGCTTCGAGGGGTCCGAGCAAGAGGAGCAACAGCAGGCGAGAAAGAAACCCGCGAGCTCCCGCCGGACGCGCTCGACAAAAGCAGGGCTGGCCCGAAGGCGCGCAGCAAACTCGCGGACGCACTCCCTGCGCCCAAACGAGTCGCGGGGATCGCGGAGGGGGAAAGGGTTGCCCCAGGGAGACGAAGCGCACTGCGCGCCCAGGTCAAACGAGTCGCGGGTGGACACAGCCCTGGCAGCCGCCGCATCGCATGACGCTCCGCCACTCGCCGCCGCCTCGCGGCCCCGCCCGCCGCAGCTCGCTCTGGTTCCCCACCCGCCGAAGGGCCTCCCGGAGGACAACCACGTCGGCGTCGTCCAGACTGACGCCAAGCACGTCGCAGAGCTCCTCCTCGAGAGTGAGAAGGGGCTGGCGAGGAAGCGGGTGGCCAGCGCGGCGGCAGACGTCGCCTCGCAGCAGGTCGCCTGGCAGCTGCTCGCCTGGCAGCTGCTCGCCTCGCAGCTGCTCGCCTCGCAGCTGCTCGCCTCGCAGCTGCTCGCCTCGCAGCTGCTCGCCTCGCAGCTGCTCGCCTCGCGGCGCGCCCGGCGGTCGAGCTGAAGCAGCAGCGCCAGGCGGGGCCTCCAGGTGCTCGCCGCCCCATCGCGGCGGCCGGCCGGCCGAGCTCTGCTGAAACGTGCCCGGGATGCCTTTTGCATCCAGGCGTCGTTCTGCGGAGCGCGGCACACCGGCCGGTGGCGCGCATGCCGAGCCAGAGTCCTCGCGACCGGTGCCAGCGGCAGCGGTCGCGCGCGGCTGGTAGCCGCGTAGGAGCCCTGGGTCGGCCACCGTGGCCACTGCTCAAGGCAGCGGCCACCATGGCAGCGCGCTACGGCGTCTGAAAGAAGAATTCTATTACAGAAAAAGAATTCAACAAACGGAACTCTCTCGCAGAGCACACAGGTTCGACACAGGTACCAAAAGAGGCACAGCCTGCGACGGACCTTTAGAAGGCGCCGTCGTCCTCATGGAGGTGGGCACGATCGGGGGGACAGTCGAATCCGCGAGCACCGTAGTGCTCGCCGAAAAGACCATCCCCATCATCCCAACCCCCCCGGCGACCCCCTCGCCGCTTGCCCCGCCAGCGGGCACTGCGCGACCCACCCCCGCGCCCTCGACCGCGCCCCCCGCCAGGAGCATATCGCATCAGAAAAAGAAAAAACCGGGTGTGTTCGATTTTATTAAATGCGCAACACGAAATCCGAACTGCGCTTTGTGACACCTTTGGCCAGCTGGTTTTGATCGCTGGCTCAAGTCGCATAGGTCAGGTCCGCCGCGACGCGTCAGCTGTCTGTACACAGTACAGTCTACAAACGCCAGCACCCCCCACAGGCAGAGAGCGCTCCTCGCACCTCGGGGGGGGGGGGGGGGGGGCACTCGCTGGAGAGGTAATGCGGCTTTTCAGAGTCAAGTGATTGCGCGAAATCCCAGACTGGTGGATTTTGGGGCGCTGTCTACCCCCTAACATCGAACATGGATACACAGAGAGTGGGAAGTTGCCCCGCGCGCGCCATATGCACCATGCATCCCTTTCGCCCCACAAGTAACCGTGGTGTGCTCAACCGAACGGCCAGCCGCCGCCGCCCGAGGCCTCCTCCTTGGCCCTCTTCGCGTCCTCCTCGTCGTGGTCCTAAGGCAAGGTAGGGCAGGGTGACCTTCTCCACACACACACACACACACACACACACACACACACACACACACACACACACACACACACACACACACACACACACGCACACACGCACACACGCACACACGCCCCCCCTCCCCCCCTCCCCCCCCACACACACTCCCCCCCCACATGAGGTGGTGGGGCGAGGGCCAGGCGACCGTCGCGACTCCACGTACAAAAGACAGGCGGCCCGCGGCAATAAAGTTGCAAGGCCGGCGCGCTGCGTGCGTGCGTGCGTGCGTGCGTGTGTGTGTGTGTGTGTGTGTGTGTGTGTGTGTGTGTGTGTGTGTGTGCGTGTGCGTGCGTGCGTGCGTGCGTGCGTGTGTGTGTGTGTGTGTGTGTGTGTGTGTGTGCGTGATGTGCGCGCGCGCGTGTGTTCCTCGTCAATGATGACCGCCATCGCAAGGATTGCCGCCGCGTCCACACCCGCCGCCACATCGACCACGTACGTGTCCAGATCCGACACGAGCTGCGAGGGCCAGGGCGAGCGAGGGTGGCGGCGCGGCTTTCTCTTCCTGGCCAGGGCGAGCGAGGGTGGCGGCGCGGCGCCGCTCGCGCTTTCTCTTCCTAAAATTATGTTCCTCCGCGGCGGAGTGAGCGAGGTGTGTGTGCGCGCGTGATGAGAGATTTGATCGAGAGAGGCGGGACAGGGCTGTGTGTCGGGGCGAGCGAGGGTGGCGGCGCGCGAGGCTCGGGGTGATCGAGGGCCATACGCAGGTGAGATTTCCCGAGATTCCCCGAGGGCCGTTGCGAGCCGTGCTCTGCGGGGCGCGGGAGAGAGAGGGAGAGGGAGGGGGAGGGGGAGAGGGAGGGGGAGGGAGAGGGAGAGGGAGAGGGAGAGGGAGAGGGAGAGGGAGAGGGAGAGGGAGAGGGAGAGGGAGGGGGAGGGGGGGCGGGGGGGAGAGCGCGCGTGCAGGGTCTGCAAGTGCCTCCGGCCCTCTCTGGAATCTCGGAGAATCTCGGGGAATCTCAGATCTGCGTGCCTCTGGCGCCCGCCGCACCCTCGCGATCGTGTCTCCCCAGCCGGCCTTGAAGGTGTAGGTGCGGTCGAGGAAGGAGCCTGCGTGTGTACCATACCTCCAGAGTATCGAATCCAGTGTGGGCTCAGCCCGGTGGGTGGTGCGGTAGCAAAGGTGGGAGAGCTGACCAAAGCACGTGCTGAATACACCAACATCGGAGCGGGCGTACGGTCCTTGCAGTGTGTGGTGAGAGCACCGGGTGAATACGAGGGACACAGCACCAAATGCGGTGAGTGCGTTGAAGCACGGGTCCTCTCGAGCGCTTTGGGAGACAAGAAGAACACAGGCTACTCCGCTGCTAGGGGAAGGCGCCCTCGGCTTCAAAGTCGGCAAACGGGTTCGCGTCGCCCTCGTAGTAAAACTGCGGGCGAGGGTGAGGGCGAGGGGTTGGTGGACGGGGTCGCGTCGCCCTCGTAGTAAAACTGCGGGCGAGGGTGAGGGTGAGGGGTTGGTGGACGGGTTCGCGTCGCCCTCTCGTAGTAAAACGGCGCGCCCGCGCGCCCGACGGCACCAGGTACGAGGGCAACTCGGGGCGTCAGACGCTGGCTCGGGGCGAAGCCCGCCGGGCGATCACTTGTACTTTGGCGTACTCTCGGGTACTCTCGGGTACTCTCGGGTGATCCGACCTTGTACTTTGGCGTCATCGACATCCACTCGCGCTCGACCTTTGCGACGCACTCGCCGCCGTCGGCCGAGTAGATGTCGTAGCACGTCGACGCGGCGATGGCGCGCCGCTCGACGCTGCAGAACTTGGCGCCGCTCGACGCCTCCTTGAAGGCGAGCTTGTCAAGGACCCAACCGCCGAGATTGATGTTGCCTCCGTCGATGGTGATGACCTCCTGCCCGGAGAGGTCGCGGACGCGAAAGTCTTCGCCCGAGAAGGAGAACATCTTCTCTTGCAGCTGGTAGCTTGCTGGCTGCTTCTTGACCAGCGATGGCAAAAGCGGCCTTTCGTACGGCTTCTGCTCTTTGAGCGCGTCGCCCATGATGTCGCCAAAGAGGTTGGCGGAAATCGGGCCGCTGCGCGCAAGCGGCGACGGCGGCAACCTCATCGGAGAAGAGGCCGCGGAGAGAAGGACGCGCTCGAGCAGCCTCATGAAATGCCTGCGACCAGAAGAGCTTAAAAGAATTTTGCGTGATTCTCGCGCTAAAGTGGGCACAGGACTGGCGCGCACTGGCACTAACACAGGTACACCAAAAGAAGAATCTTATACAATCTCACAGCACACTGGCACGACAAGGGCGCGGACTGGCGAGAGAAAAAGAAATAAAAAGTGATGCTCGGAAACCTGGGGTTGGAAGGGGGTAGATCAAGGGGGCACAGGCAGTTGCACCGACCCTCTCACGTCTGTGGCAGCCCAGCTGTCTGAGTGTCTTGTGAGTTTGTGTGTCGGTGCGTCGCTCGCGCGTGTCGTCCTCTTCTGTCCCGCGTCCACCCAGTTACCGCGTTGGTGGAAGAGTGCATCTGTTCTTTTGCTCCCCGTAGTGCATCTGTTCTTTTGCTCCCAAATTGTACCCGTCGGTGGAAGAGGGTTTTTGCCTTGCGGCCAAAGCAAATTCTTTTTTCTGATTTCGTCGGACGCGACACCCTCCTCAAAGCTCGCCAAGTGTGACTGGGCCTCCCCCCCAGAGCGGAGATGGATTTCGATCTGTACGCCCTCGCTGGAGTCAAGAAGGTGGATCTGCTCGAGGACGAGAAGAAGTCGCCCCGGAGTAGCGAGACTAGCGAGTGCTCTGGCCGAGTGGTCGTGGAGCTTGTGCCGGGATCAAACAACACGGTAAGAGTCGAGCTCAAGAGCCAGCCGGCGGCGTCCGCCTGAGCATGCTTCACAATCGTGCATGTTGCCCCCCCCCGCTGTCAAATACGTCGCGCTCCGCTACACAGGAGTGCCGGGGTGCGAGTTCAACGTTAGAGGAGTCAGGGCATGTGGAATCATCGTTTGGCTGAGGTTGACGCATGTGGAAGACCGTACTTGCCGTCTTGGAGTCGGGGCTCGGTCTCCTCGAGTCTGCTAGGACGGCGCTGCGCCAGGGCGCGAAGGAAGAGAGATACGTGTGTTTCATCATTTTCACAACGCACGGAAAAATATACAGAGATATGCACGCGCGCCACTCGCACTCCGTACTCACCCTTCGGTCGGATGCCCCGCGTCCCCCGCCGGTGTTGAGCAGGGTGAGAGAGAACCCGGCGGAGAGGCAGCGAGACGCGGAGTCCGGAGTAGACGCGGCGTCGCGGGGGGAGAGTGTGCCGAGAGAAGGCCCCTGAGTGGCTGAGAGAAATGCGCTATATGCAGCGAGCTCGCCCCACCAATGCAAAGCGCTCCGCTACGCGCCGTGCGGCGCGCAGAGCAGGCCAAACGCCCACGAGGTGTGCGCGCTGCCCGCCGAGCGAGCGACGAGCAGCGCGAGCGCCAGCAGCAGGATGACGCCGAGTGCAAAGACGAGCAGCGACGGGTGGCGCAGCCGCCGCACGAGGACGTACGAAGCGCGCCGGCCCAAGTATGCGGAGGCGAAGCCGAGGCAGAGGGCCCAAGCGGCGTAGCCGGGCTGAGGCGCGAGCACCCCTTGGAGGAGGTAGTGCACGAGGTCGGAGGAGGAGGTGAAGAGGATCATGAAGGCGGACGTGCTGCTGGCGACCTGCGGCAGCATGCCGAGCGCCAGTAGCAGCGGCGCCATCAGCTCCCCTCCGCCCAACCCGATGAGGCCCGCGACCATCCCCACCAGCAGTGCGAGACCCGCCGCACAGACCGCCGCCGCGCCGCCCCACTCCAGGTCACCCTCCAGTCGAGGCTGAGCGCCGCGAGAACGCGCCGCGAGCCGCGCGCCGCCGGCCGTGGCGGCGGCGACGGCGGCGAGCAGACCCAGCTTCCAGCCGAGGTAGGGTGCGGAGCACCGGTCGGTGGCGCCGCTGAGCTGCACGCCGAGATCGTCCAGCAGGAAGAGCGCCCAAAAGGCCGAGAGCAGGGCAACTCTGGAGCAAATCGGCGAATGCTGGCCCAGCGCCGCCGCGGCCGCATGGCCTCCGCCCTCGCCGCATCCGCGCTCGCCGCCGCCCTCGCCGCCGCCCTCGCCGCCGCCCTCGCCGCCGCCCTCGCCCCCGCCCTCGCCGCCGGCGCCAGAATCGTCGCGGCTCGGCAGTCGCGGTCTCGACGGCGGCGCGGCCGGCAGCAGCAGCGAGCGCCGCGCGTCCGCAGAGCCTTCGTCGCTGCAGCTCCGCCGGCCGCGCTGCTGCTGAACCGCGGCCGAATCGTCGCGCACCGCGCCCTCCACCGACGGCGCGGACGGCGCCGCCGACGCACGAGCGCCTGTCGGCGCCCGCTGCTGCTGCTGCTTGCCCGCGCGCTCTCGAGCAAAGTCTCGCGCCGCGTGCGCCCAAGTTTTTGCTGCGGCGAGGGCGAGCACCACGCACGAGAGGAGCACGAGCAGCGGCGCCGGGAGGACGGGCGAGAGGACAACCCCCAACGCGTTCCCGCCGAGCATCATCGGCAGCAGCAGCAGCGGCGCGTCGAAGTCGACCACCGGCCGGCTCGGGTCGGCTGGGTGGCGGCGCGGAAGGTTGACGATGTTCTGTGCGACGGCGTTGCCGAAGACCATGACGTGCGAGATAGGCACCGCTTCCTCGATCAGGAAGCCCATCACGATCAGCAGCAGCGGCACGTTGAGCCCGCCGCCGCCGATGCCAGACGCGCCGGCGAGTGTTCCCGCCGCAAAGAGCACCGCGCTGCCGTACCCGTCGATAGGACCGAGCGGGAGCAGCGACTTGTGCAGGCAGACGTGGCAGTCCGCAGGGTCTGCGCTCGGTGCGGCGCACGAGATGTTGCCTCCGGACGTGAGCAGCGGGTCGAGGGCGCACGTGCGGCCGGCGCTGCACCGTGGCTGCGAGGCGTTGCAGAGCAGGCTGAGCAGCGCGTCCGTGTCGCGCGGCGGGTCGACGATCGAGTGGAGAGGCAGCGAGAAGGAGCGGGGCCTTTGCAAGGGCACGAGCACGAGCGACGAAGCGGCGGCGAGCATGTGCATGTACATGGCGCAGAGCGGCAGCGCTGAGCCCGCCCCGCGAACACGGTCCTCGACTTGGGGAAGCGCCCCCCCCGGCGGGTGGGTTGGGGGGCTCGACGCGGGGAAGTGCGGGTAATAAGAGGCCTCCCCGTACAGCGTACTTACTTACTTACTTGTTTGTTGTTTGGTTGGTTGCCGAGACTTCTTTCTTCTCTCTTGGTTGGGAGTTGAAGGCCCTGCACCACTGCCTGCTGCGAAGCGAAGCGGGCCCGTTGCCCGAGCCAAATGGAGGACACCGCCGACACCGCTCTGATCTAGATATGCTCGACTCCCACGCCCGCCGTAGTGGGGTAGTGCCCGCGGATGTGTCATATTCGGCTCCGGCGTACCGCGTACCCCCCGCCCCCCACCATGGATCGGAGATCGCTCCTCCGACGGACTGGCTGGGCGAGCTGCCGCTGGACCTGTCAGAGCTTGATCTCCGATCTCAGCGGCGTCGAGTCGTCTCCGGCGGCGACAATTTTGTACCTCCCCAGGACGCGCAGAGGCAGCTGCGACCCCGCCGAGTGGACGGTTGCGCACCGCGCTTAGGGTACCCCTAGGCTTAAAAGGGTGGGCCCTGGGGCGCCTGCGGCTTAAACGGCTTAAAACCTGCCATGGCAGGTTTTAAGAGCTGCTGGGCCGCCGATTCCTTAAACGGTCTTAAACGCTTAAACGGTGCGGGAGAGCTCCCGAGAACTGTCGATGGTCCGGGAGGCTCCCCGGTAGACGCCGGAGGCCGGGAAGCTGGCTACAGTCAGCTGGCACGCGTCCCCTATGCGAGTATGGCTCCCGCCAGTGCACCAGACTTACAAAAATAAAATATTCTTACCTTCAAGCCCCCCTCCGAGACTAGGGACAGAACCACACCAGTATAGACCAGAGGGATTGCGCCTCGCCCCCACTTGCCCTGACTGCACAGGATAGCGTGCCCCGAAGACGGCGACACATAGCGGGGGACACTGCGCAAGGAGGGGGTGCGAAGCCAAGGTTGGGGTTCTGGGTGGTGGGACCAATGAGGGGGGGAGGGCGGGGTCCTGTGGGGGTGAAATGTTGCGCGGCGAATTCGAGCCTACCCCCTCGCCGCGCCGATCCTCACGCGGAGGGTAAAACCCTGTGGGACAAAACCCCTCCGCGGTCGGCTGTCTTCAGAGTGGACCCCCCCCTCCCCAGCCTCCCCTGTTCGTTTTTCGCACCCCCCCCCCCGCTCCCCATCGGTGACTCGCGAAGGACACGGACACTCGGGGTGGGGGGGGAGGGGTCCCCCAGAGAGGGGGCTTTGGGGCCGCTTGTTGAGTCAATCTCCCCCCCAGAGGGGCCTCGTTGGGTCGATCTCTGGTCGATCTCGTGTCGATCTCGGGTCGATCTCGGGTCAATCTCGGGTCGATCTCGGGTCCATCTCGGTTCAATTCCGGGTCAATCTCGGGTCGATCTCGGGTCACGTCGTGCGGCGTAATGAGGCGAGATGAGGCGAGATGAGGCGAGATGAGGCGAGATGAGGCGAGATGAGGCGAGATGAGGCGAGGCGAGGCGAGATTAGACGAGATGGGGCGAGATTAGGCGAGATGGAGCGGGATATCGCGAGGTGCAGCCAGCTCCTGCCTGGATGGAGTCAGGATAATGCCTGGGAAGATTCTGGTTGGTGCCTGAAGGGGGCTAGGTATGCCTGGAAGGAGCCAGGTTGATGCCTTGAGGCCTTGAGGGAGTCGGCTTGTGAGGCCTTGAGGGATCCAGATCTGGATCCCTCACGGCCTCAAGCCGACTCTCTGGTTCTTCTGGTTCCTCTCGGCGACGCCCAATGCGTGCGCCGGCGTGGGGAGTGTGCGTGCGCGCGCGTGTGTGAGATGAGGATTGTGGCAGGCTGGCTGCTGCTGATGTGGGCAAGTGTGCTCTGTGTGCGGCGCTGCGCTGGCGTGCGATGCGCGCGTGCTGTGCGCGTGTGCGTGTTGGAATCGCGCGTGCGTCTGCGTGTGCTGCGCGCGCGCCGGCGTGTAGCTCACAAAACATCACAGACAGGCGACAGGGGCGAACGTGTGAGACTAGAGCAGGCTTGCTCCGCCTCTAGCGATCTAGCCGGCCGCAAGGCCGGACAAGACCGTGTGTGGGGTCATGTGAGGTGTCTATGGACGCTCCCTCACAGGATAGCGGCCAGCCGCTAGCCCTATCTCGCACTCATGGGTGACGGTGGTTCATTGGATGAGTGTTTGCGAGCAGAAGCGCGTGTGCTGAATCTAGATCGCACGCCGTGGCATATGACTTGGGTAGGCGTGCGACCGCAGCGCGCCCGCCGTAAGCTCGACGGGGCGCGCGTGAGTGTCAGCTAGGAGTTTGCCAGTACAAGAGCTATCCTGGTCTTTCCGAAGACGAGCCCCGCGCTACGGGTGCCAGCCGTGCCTTCGCGGGTGTCGCCCTTCGAGCCGCGTCCCGTCGGCACCGTCCCTGAGTGCGTCTCGCCTCTGCGACACACACTCGACGAGGACGGTCCCGCCGACGGGAACGTGTCGCGCGCCGGCGACGATTGCGGCGTGTGTGTGTGTGTACGAAGCGCCGCTTCGACGAAGCGAGGTTGGCAGGCGCCCCTCGCGACTCGGATGATCACTTGTCGCAGTCACAGTATTCGGACACACAACCAGCTAAACTCTAAACCTCAGAGGGTGTTCGCAACGGCATGGCTCCAGCCACGGAACTCACCACCAACGGGCATCTGCTCTTGAACTTGCGCCCGGAGCCCGTTGAGAGTGAGGAGCATGATCGTTGCCGCGGCGACACGCGGCATCGCCATGCCCGATGCCAAAGAGACTCGCGAGAGGAACGAGACGGAGAGAAAGAGCACGGAGGGGACGAGGTACTGAACCACAACAGGCTGGGAGAGCCGCAACCGGCTTGGCAACCCTTTCATGTTCATGTGACACCAGAATCCAGAAAACTGAAAAGATCTTGTTTTGGTTGTTCGCGGACTCCATTCCTGCTTGCACTCGAAGTATTCCCACTCGTGACTCGAAGCCGACCGGCGCGGCCACAGAGCTGGCACGGCGACGCGGGGCCAGGAAGAGCAGCGAGAGAGCTGCACCTGCAGTGTGAGCACCAGCCACCACGGCACATGCACGAAGAGTGAGCGCGCGTGTGGCCACGACGCGCACTCGAGGCACGGAACGTGCTTGGACGTACAACGCGTCGCTGCAGCGAGTGTTCGGATTCGTTGCCGCTTAAGTGCGGAGAACACGTGTTACCACGCTCTCGACGGGATGCAAGAACGTGACCGGGAGCGGGACCGGCCGAGACGCTCGACTGACTCTCTACGGCGCATGCAGCCACAGTGTACTCCATATACGCCACGGGAGCTGGCGGGCGCCACGCCTCGAGGGCAATACCACCGAACGGGCTGCCCGCCCGCCCCCCTTTTCTGCCCTCTCCCCTCGATGCGAAGCGCGCTGGCGCGGCCGCCCGCCCGTCGCCGCAACAGCGGCAGCCGCCGCACCGCTGCAGACGCCGCAACAGCGGTGGCGACGGCAGCAGCGGGACGTGGCGAGCAGCAGCGGCGGCGGCGGCGGCGGCAAGGGGAAACGGCGCCTCAGTCGCGCCGTCGATCGCGGTCCCTGCTGCGGCTGCGCTCCCTCCTGCGCTCGCGGCGGTCGCGCGAACGCGAGCGGCGGTCGCTGCGGCGGTCGTCGCGCCTTGGTTGCAATCGTGTCACGCGCTCAGTGCGACAGTGCCCTCGGCAGAAGTGTGCACCACGCGTTGTCAGGAGGTGTCTGGGAGGTGGCTAGGGGTGTCCAGGAGGTGTCCAGGAGGTGAGCAGGAGGTGTCTGGGAGGTGGCTAGGGGTGTCCAGGAGGTGTCCAGGAGGTGAGCAGGAGGTGTCTGGGAGGTGGCTAGGGGTGTCCAGGAGGTGTCCAGGAGGTGTCCAGGAGGTGAGCAGGAGGTGTCTGGGAGGTGGCTAGGGGTGTCCAGGAGGTGACCAGGAGGTGACCAGGAGGTGTCTGGGAGGTGGCTAGGGGTGTCCAGGAGGTGACCAGGAGGTGACCAGGAGGTGTCTGGGAGGTGGCTAGGGGTGTCCAGGAGGTGTCCAGGAGGTGACCAGGAGGTGTCTGGGAGGTGGCTAGGGGTGTCCATGAGGTGACCATGAGGTGAGCAGGAGGTGTCTGGGAGGTGGCTAGGGGTGTCCAGGAGGTGTCCAGGAGGTGACCAGGAGGTGTCTGGGAGGTGGCTAGGGGTGTCCAGGAGGTGACCAGGAGGTGTCTGGAAGGTGTCTAGGAGGTGTCCAGGAGGTGACCAGGAGGTGTCTAGGTCGTCGCGCCCGCGGTAGCTGTCGCGGTCTCCGCCGCGGTCGCCGCCGCGGTCGCCCCCTCCGTCGCGCCTCTCCGTGTTCCAGACCAGCTTGCCGCCCGCCTTTGGGGAGATATGGGGAGATATGGGGAGATATGGGGAGATATGGGGAGACGGGCCTGCCGCCCGCCCTTTGCGGTCGAGAGGTGCTGCCGAGGTGCGGCCGAGCTGCTGCCGAGATGCGGCCGAGGTGCGGCCGAGGTGCAGCGGAGGTGCAGCCGAGGTGCGGCCGAAGTGCTGCCGAGGTGCGGCCGAGGAGGAGCGCGCAGTCAGGCAAGGTCGACCCGAGATCCGCCGAGATCCGCCGAGATCCGCCGAGATCCGCCGAGATCCGCCGAGGTCGGCCCGGCGGCGCGAGCTGAGACGGAGCGCCGAGTTGCGCCGAGGTAGCGCCGAGGCAGCGGCGCCCGCCTGGCTCGCGCCGCCATACCCGCCTCCTCCTCCGCCTCCGCCGTATCCTCCCCCAACGGGGTACCCGCCCCCTGCGCCGCCGTACCCCCCCGCGTCGCCGCCGTAGCCCGGCGGAGCGGCGGCCTACGTGCTGGAGCGCGCCACCCTCGGGGGCGGGAGATGTGGGGAGATATGGGGAGATATGGGCGGCCTACGTGCTGGAGCGCGCCACCCTCGGGAGATATGGGGAGATATGGGGAGATATGGGCGGCCTACGTGCTGGAGCGCGCCACCCTCGGGAGATATGGGGAGATATGGGGAGATATGGGCGGCCTACGTGCTGGAGCGCGCCACCCTCGGGAGATATGGGGAGATATGGGGAGATATGGGGAGATATGGGGCGGGGATGCGGTCTCGCGCAGACTAGTCGGAGCACTGCGGGAAGACGAGGGGGTACGAAGAGAGTGGGTACGGCGGAGCACAGGAGACGGCTCAAAAAGTGGACGCCGCTCGCGCGCCAGGTGGGGGACGAGAATACGTCTTCGCTTCT